GCGCTGGTCATCAACATATTCCACCGAAACCGCGAACAACGCCCCCCCACCCCTGTGCGCGCTCAGCGGGCCACGGTAAAATTATCAAAGGCTGACTGGTCCGCAGCGATAAAAAGGTTGGGGACCACTGCTGTAACCCAACCAGACAGACACAGACTTCAGAGGATAATTAGAACTGCAGAAAAAACAACTACTACCAACCTGCCTTCCATTGAGGACCTGTCAAAAAGAGGGTTGTGAAAAGATTTACAGACCCTTCGAGTCCTGGACATAAATTGTTTCAACTCCTACCCTCAAAACAACAAACGTATAATTTCCTCACACTGTCAAGCTATTTACTAAGTCTGCATTACTATTAATCTTCCCATTGTTCCTATCACCCATCTCCTCCCACTTAAGACTGTATAACTGTAACTTTGTTGCTTGTATCTTTACAATTTATATTGTTTCCTAGTGTGATTTGATTGCTTATTTGTACCCTATGACTATCATTAAGTGCTGTACCTTATGATTCGTGACGAATGTCTTTCGTTTTATGTACACTGTGAGCATATGCATCAAAGACAAATTCCTTGGGTGTCCAATCACACTTGGCCAATAAAGAATTCTATTCTATATAACAAAAATATATATATTAAAAACCAAAGATGATTGATTCAAATGGATTATATTACACCACTGTCAATTACTAAGAATGATTGTTGATTGAGATTCTTTATTTGGTCCTGAAGTAAGAGCTATAGCAGCAGAATGCACAATCATTTGTTTAGAGGTCTATAACCTATTTGCTAAATTGCAGGTAGTCTGCAAATTAAATTTGGAAACAAAACAAAACAAGAAACATCCTTCTTAAATACTTCTCGTATAAGAAAATTTTAAGATAATTACATTTACTTGTAGAAAAATGGAGAAATTTTGCAAAAAAATTAATAAACTATGTTAAGTATGTGGACTTACTTTAGTTAACATAACAGAAAGCCTATATAATATATTTATTTTGTGAATATTCTTATTTTTAAACTAGTTATTTTACAGAGAATTTGATATTCATTCCATCATTTAACAGAATGCATGTAATTAAACCAGAGACCGAATCTGTACAACATGCAAAGTCTATTTGCTAAACTATGGTTTGTTGAATGTCATTTACTTCACACATCCTGCATGATGGGTTTATGTATCAAACAAAATAAAAAATGGTTTGGTTTTGACTTACTATATTGTATAAATTATGACACGGATTAATACATACAAATTCAGCCAAGTGTACTTTATTAAAAATTATAACTTAGCCGGGTCTTAATAAAAATCAAATCTACAATTAAATGTATGGTTTGCAAACCAGAATTACTTGATCTTACTGATTTTGGCAAAACAAAGCAAAACGTATTATGGATTTAACCAATGTATGTACCCAAACACAGTGAAAATTATTTTTTACTAGATTGATTGTGGATACAATCCAATATATTAGTTATCAAGTCCCCATAAGATTAGCTTCATTATATTTAAGCATCAGTCTTCCAATCAGCTTCCACTCTAGGAATTCTAAACCCTTCCCTATGTCCCAACCATATATGGGAAGCAACTAATGGGGACAAGAGAAATGCCTTCTTAGTGGCCGTACCAATTTCCCTGCTAGAATGCACTTTGGCCAACTGGCTGAAGGCTTCCTATTGCCTTGCCCACCCTTGACAAAAGCATAGACTCTTGAAAACCTGGATTTACAAAAGGAATCTTTTATTGAAAAGGAGTGAAAGCAAATCACATCGAAAGCAGGATCTGGGACCCTCAGGCTATACAATCCATGATAAAGGGACTTAGGAACCCCTCCCAATGTGGATTCCCACCAATCAGCAAATGTGAAGATGTTTTTGTACCGGCCTCTCTGAGACACAGATAAGCAGGTTCTCCTGAGCGCTGCTTGGAGAGTCCAAGCATGGGTTAAATTCTGCCTTCTGCCTTCTGCCCAAGGAATGAATTGAATTTCTTTGGCCACGCCCTCTGGTTGCTTGCTCTAGCCAGTTTTTCAATTCAGTCTATGCCCAGTGGACGTAGTTAAAGAAGTTCCAGCAGTTCTTGACCAGATAAGCTTGGACTCTCCTTTCTTTTTCACTATTCCTTTATAATTCTTTTAGTAGTATTACCTTTTATTTTGGGATTAATTTTTATCTGAAGTTCTTCCTTGTAATTTACTTTGGGGCAGGTGGGGAGAGTTTCAAAGGCTTTTTTCCCCCTTTCCTCCCTCTCCTTTCTTCACCATGGCGTTCTGGGTCTGTGGCAGTCAGCAGGAGCGCCCAGATCGCCTTCCTTGATAGGAGGCGACTGTTGCGAGCCGTGCAGGCCCCCATGGAGTATAAGTATAAATCTTTATTATGGTCAAAAACCAGCAATACACATTACCTTTTACCATATGTTAAAAGTACTAACATTAAAATATAATTAAAAAGTATTGACGTTAAAAGTGGATGATAACATACATGTTCTCAAATTGTTTGGGTCACTCCCTGTTTTACTTGGGTGCAAAGCTGATAAGTATGGGGGTAAATACAATGGTCCAGAAATTGTTAGAGATATGTCCAAATAATTGATACAAGATAACAACTATACTTCTGTGACCAATTTTTTTCTTGTGGGCATTGCAGCAACACAGAACTTTGCCACTGCATATGTGGTAGCTGGGTTTGT